TGTGGAGTCACCTTTATTTTTGTTCCGGGACACGCAGGCGTCGATGGAAATGAAAGAGCTGACAGGTTGGCTGGATCCGCTATCACTACCGACGGTCAGCCTATGGATCATGCTGATATTATCAATGCCCTCAGAGAAATGGGAAGGATAGAGGACTTTGGTGGCAGTGAATCCACATCACTCGCCAGAATGGCAGACTTGGGAATTAAGATCGGCACAGCAAAAAACGAGATGCACACCAGCTACGCCAGAAGACTTGTTAATCAACATAGAACTGGTACTATTAGCCATCGGACGTTGGGGTTCATACTGAGGGGAGGATCTGAGCACCTATGAACATGTCCGGAGTGCAATGAGGATAACCCAACTAACTAACTAACTAACTAACTAACTAACTAATGTTCACGTTTTGTTTGTGTTTGTTATCTTTCGAAGCTCACTGATATACTTTTCGTTTGGTTTTATATCTTTTCCGCGTAGAGTGTAGTCATGTCGAGTTAGACGCACTAGTGCTAGTGATATTAAAGAGAGGTGTTCATATTCAAAAGTAAGTTCTCTTTAAAATTTTGTTGCCTCTATCCCGTATACGCAAGTCTTCAAGCGACAAACTATTATACAATTTTTCACGAACTGATTTGTCTTTTTTGTGACATGAATGAAAACTGTATCGCCCTCTTCTTCGCTTTCCCTCGCTGTAAACTCTGTCGGAAAGTCCTGGCTGTTCGTCCACGATTGGACTTTAGTCTTGTTCAGAAGTTGAGTTTTGCATGCACATATGTTTTACATAAATAATGTCTGCATACTTTAGGTTCCTTGCCTATCAGTCAGGATGCACTCCGTCTTTGAAGGCAAAAACCCTTGATTTTCGCATTTTATGACATGCTTGTTGGGGGGTGGGGGGGGGGGTGAGGGAGTAGTTTTTCTTTGTCTCCCACAATGGGGCCCCGGAACCCAAATGGGGATCTCACTGAGTGCTAATTTATATGGGATCTGGGATCTCGGTTCATAGGAAGCAAAGAATAGACACACTGCTCGTTAAAAATCATTCTGTTTAAAAAAAACTCGACTGATTAAGGGTTTGTTAAAATTGACTGTCTTGGACCGGAGGGCGAAGATACCACAGCCTAGCTGAAAACCACGGTACAAAGCGCCAGCTGTCCTTTTAAGGGCGAACGCAGAAGAAATGGAAGAAGATTAACAAGTTGAATGTTGAAATAGGTATCAACATTACACATTCGGGACACTCCTATAAACGCTCCGTCCCCATCTTCAGCAGCAAGCGAATAGTTCCAATTCCGATGGCACCAATAGCAGTCTGATTGTACATCCGTCTCGTCCTTCTCCTGAGTGTTGAGCGTCGGCCACATCCTCTGGTAACTCCTCGTAGTGCCATTATCCTCAGACCGTAATGATCTATCTGCGTATCCGCACTGTTAGCTCATTCCCAAAGGGCACACCCAATATCTAGCTTGTCATACACCAATTCAATCAGGCTGTACCAACAGGTTCATGTTCCTCCAATTACAGAGCAGAGGCAGAAGCACTTCTAGCGGCATGTTCTTTCCTGAATGGACAACAGCACAGTAAATATAACAGAGTGGTCTTTCTGACTGATGCTATGTCAGTTCTACAAGCAATTGTTAACCCAAAAGACACTCAGTTTGGTGACTTGATGCAACAGCTGATTTACTTAGGCTCTTCAGTAGAACAATCAGTACTGCAGTGGATTCCAGGTCACTGTGGCTTGGAAAGCAATGAAATAGCGGACAGATTGGCCAGAAGCGGCAATGACATGGTACAACCAAATAGCGACTTAACCCACCAAGAGATGAAAACACTAATACAAGCTAGTATCCAAGAAAGGTGGCTGGATACCCACACCAGATTTTCTACCAAAGACTCACTTCATCACCTCTCTAGAGAGGGTCAGTGTATTATATTCAGACTAAGGACTGGGCACAACAGATTTCGTCAACATATGTTCAAATTTTTCGGAGTAGGAAATACGGAGACGTGTCCCTGCAGCGTGGCGCCAGAAAATGCTGAGCATGTGCTCCAACACTGTCAACTGTATGCTGACAACAGAGACGCAATCTGGCCTATTCCAACCACACTGAAGACAAAACTGTATGGTACACGAGAGGATATGGATTGCACGATAGCTTTCATAAAGGCTACCGCCCTCCTGATATAAGTTTTCTGACAGAAGGTTCGAAGGAGAAGAAGAAGATACACCAATTCACCACTGCTCTGTGAGTCAGTTACAATCACGGCATGTGTGTACAGCTGATTCTCAAGCCAGCGCAAGGGAGCGGAAGAAGATGAAATGACACTCTTAATTGTGAGACCAGTATGAAACGAAATGTTAGTGGAATGTAAAGTGTGAAATAACAGAACACAACAACAAAAACAACAACAAAAACAACAACAACAACGATGATGATGATAATGGAAGGTAAACACTTGCTAAACTAACAAACTAGCGACACTATTTGAAATATCCTGGGAGGTAAATGCAGCCTGTACCATATTGATTACATTATGCACCAAGAGCTGATTGGTTTGTGCAGATATGGATCTGAAACCATGCATGCAGATGTCCTGGTAGCAGGGACCTTTGTCTGTAACTGTTACTTGCACACAAATGGTGTCGCATGATGAAACATACAGCTGCAATAATGGCTTATTTTCATGTTTGCTATTGACTTATTGTGTGTCCCCGCATTCAAAGACTGTCTTAAGTTAGTTTTTTTTTAAATCCAATCTATGGATCCATCCGTGTGTTGCCTTCTGACTGCTACTCAAAGGTTTAGCCTAACATCCCAGGATTGAAAATATCTCAGTCTGGATGGCAGACCAACAGGGCACATCCCAGATACTCTTTTCAACCTCCAAGGAAATGATAATTGAGCACACGAACAACTACACCAGTCAAGTATAACCTGCAGCCCTGTGTTGCTGGTGGTAATTGATTGTATCCAATAGCAGTCCAATATTTGCTTTCAGAGGATGTATGATGTTTCAATGTATAGAAATCTTCCTTTATTCAAGCACAAACATTTACATTTATTCAAGCACAAACATTTACATTTATTCAAGCACAAACATTTACATTTATTCAAGCACAAACATTTACAGTTATTTCAGCACACCTTTATACATTTATTCAAGCACAAACATTCACAGTTACTTAAGCACACCTGTATACATTTATTCAAGCACAAACATTTACATTTATTCAAGCACAAACATTTACAGTTATTCAAGCACAAACATTTACATTTATTCAAGCACAAACATTTACAGTTATTCAAGCACAAACATTTACAGTTATTCAAGCACAAACATTTACATTTATTCACGCACAAACATTTACAGTAATTTAAGCACACCTGTATACATTTATTCAAGCACAAACATTTACATTTATTTAAGCACAAACATTTACAGTTGTTCAGGCACACCTGGATACATTTAATCAAGTACAAAAATATGTTTTGTCAAGTACAAAAATCAACATTTATCTTAAGCATGAATGTAAATAATAATTTCTTATATTTATTTATACATTAATTAATGTATAAATCAACATGTCCATCGTACGTGTCCACGGGCTGGGGGTTTTAGAACTAGGGCTTATATATGGTGTAGGGCTGATGTTACCAGCACCCTACAAAATCATGCGTCGTCGGCTTTTTTTTTCAGGTTAGGTTCTATTCTTTTGGGAAAACACTGTATAACTTCATTTAGATACATATAATAGACATACATTTACTTGCTACATTATACATATATGTAATGGTAAAGGCACTGCCTAGCTAAGACCACACACACACAGTCATATATTTTATTTCAGAACAGTAGCTCACGCAGTTGGCAGTACCACCTGGTTGTGGCAGCTGAAGCATGTAGTGAAGGAAGGGGTGGGGGGCAGAAGATGAGGTTGTAAATCTACAGTAACAAGACAGTACTGTTTTTAAGTGTGGGTATTTGTGATTGCTTGAATATATGTGTGTGTGTGTGTGTGTGTGTGTGTGTGTGTGTGTGTGTGTGTGTTCGTCTGTGTGGGAAAAGGGGAAAAAAAGGGGGTGGGGAAAATCTGCAAAAACTAACGGGGTGGGGGTGGGTGCATGTGAGTCCAGGAATATGTGTGGGTGTATGACTATGGGAATGTTTGTTGTAGTAGGGTGATGGGGATATGTATGTGCAGGAATATGTGTGTGGTTGTATGTGTGTGGTTATGTCTACGGATATTTGTGTGCAGGAGTACGTACACGGGTATGTGTGGGTGTATGACTGCTGGTATGTGTGGGTATTTGTGTAGATGTAAGTGTAGGTGCCTGACTGTTGTGTGTGCTTGTTTGCTTGCTTGTTGTATCCCACTAGGACATCATACAAGTGATAAACATCCGGTGACACAAAGTGCCACCATGCGAATGAGGATCACTTGTGGAGAGGTCCCAGAAGCCCCTTTCAGCCATTATGGCTACAAATGTGGCCCAGCTATTTTCAGGGCTCCCGGCAAAAGCTAGGGTGGGGCTTCAAATAACGAAACATTGCATCCCAAATAGGGACATTTGGAGTAAACTCTGTTGTGTGTGAGTTCTGACAACCACAAATAGCTTCCACTAGCCGATATAAATCATGTAAACAAAAATATAAACTCCCACCCTCTCATAATCCTCCCCACGACAACAAATAATAAATATATCGCATATACAAACTTCACTTACACCCATGATGATTTATTTATGTGTCCATTCAAAGTACCATAAATTACGGCGTACCAGCTGACCTGGTGTACAAGTCGACCTTGCGTATAAGTCGACCTGAAAATATTTAATCCGAAATTCCTAGTTAGGCCCTAACCTATCTAGGACAGTTGATACCCACCACTATAATTGAGCACTAGTTATTACAAGAGTTTTGTAAAGCTCGAGAACTCAGCTTACACGCCGCAATTTACGGTGGTGTCAAATTAACTCCTCTCACAGTTTCTGTCATAAAAATTTGACCCGTAGAACTTCCGATTTTGCATTTTTAGCATTTGCATAAAGGAGGTAGATATCTGAACCATCTTTGATCACTTCAAAGTCGGCATTCGGCAAGGTATGCAGGTAATGTGAGGGTACGAACTTGTCCACTCCTTGCCAGCGGTACAGGACAGTGAGAAGTCTATCTCCTGCGCCTCCATTTTGAGCATTGGAGACTATGAGGTAGTGGTCGTCTCCGACATGGAGGTACTCCCAGTCGACGGCACTGTGGATATAAACAGATCATCATAGACAGTCGCATACACATTTCAAGATGGTGGATGCATGTCCGTGTTTCCAGACTATAGCGCTATCAGGTTCGCCCCCTTCCCCTTTCCCCCGACTCTCACTAAGAGGTTGTAAACCGAACTGCTCGTAATTCAAAACGATATTTTGTCAACACGATTTTTATTTAAGCTGGTTTGAAAAGCATTCGTTAAACACAGTTGGTTTCGGGGTTGTGGAGAGGAAAAGGGGGGGGGGGGGGGGGACGTGAGGTTCCAGAACTCTGCTGTACGAGGCAGGGTCAAAGAGACACTGTTGTCCAGACCCTGCTATGACTCTAGACATTAGTTCTGGGAACTTCTTGACCATACCAATGTAGTTTCCTTAAAAACGTTTTTTTATCACGAAAAGGGGATGGTGGAGGGGGTAGGAAGGGGTCGCAAATGCAGACAGTCGTAAGTCGAATCGGTCGTAAGTCTGGGAAAAGGTGAATTGTGACTTAAGAAGGCATGAAAATCACAACCCATGGTGAGGGCGAGTGTGACTAGGAAGAGCATACGACACAAAACCTGGCTAACAAATTTATTGTTAATGCAGTATGATCTCTCTCTCCCTCCCCTATTCCTCTCTCCCTTCTCAGTCAGTCTCTCTCTCTCTCTCTCTCTCTCTCTCTCTCTTTCCCTCCCCTCTCTCTCTCTCTCTCGCTCTCTCTTGGCTTGTCTTGTTTATTCCAGAGGAAAGGTAACATTTTGGCAAAAACACGCTACTGAAGCTGGCGGATGAAAAGGGCAGTGCTTGCTCTGTCTGTCCACATGCCATGGCTTCTCTCTTAGACCAACTGTCACATTAGATGTATTTTCTATGATGTATGATATTGTAATATGTAATATACTGTTTTATATTTTGTTTTTTAACTGGGTCGGTCCCCAAATGCCCAAGCTGGACGCCCGACGACCCGGAGGATATGACGTCGGCAATTTAGACTGAACGGTATGAGTTTTAAAGAGATGGCTCATGTCGTTTGGGTTCCACCCCTGACTTGGTTGTGACCGACCCTGGACCTCTTGGTCAGAGCAGTGTAGCAGAGCTACACTTTGATCTTAGCCAAAATGCCGAGAAGCGATCATATACTGTATTATGTAGTAATGTTTAGCAGCAGAAGGCCATCACAACATCACATGGGGCTTAGGGTGTGTGTGATCTGTAATGTTACACTGGCATCCGGGATGCATCTGTCTGATCTACAAGGCTGTCAAACCTGCAAGTAGCAGCCCGGAGGGATCCAATAATTCAGTCAGTCAATCATGCCTCTTCAAACATTTGTCTTTTTTTTTTTAGTCCTTGCTTTGGGGCGTTGGTAGTCGTGTCTCCCCACAGCCTTCTGTCTCATGTAGTTTCGATTATTTCTGACACATATGATCTCCCCCTCCATGATGTCAAACTGTTCAGCATCATCTCTACTGGTCCCCCCTTGCCCACCCCCACCCCCCCAACTTCCGATGTTTCCCACAGCCATGATGCTCTCCATTTTTTTTCTTCTCTTTTGACCTAAGAATGTAAACTGTCTTCTCCTGATGTGTGCAGCCAGGTTTTTCCGTCAGTTTCTTTACAGCGAGACCGCTCACTATCAGAAACAGTAAACAAAAAGTAAAGATAATTTTTTCACGCCTTTAGGCGCATCAGGCATATGGAAAGAGGACCCCATATTTTTACAGACCAATCAGCACTGGATAGGTAATGTGGTCAGCATTACGCCGGCCGTCTTTACTTCCCTAGGACATTGATTCTGGTACCCATTTCAGGCTTGGTCGACCTGCGACGCCCCACACCCCACACTACGATATAAATCCACGCAGCCAGCAGTGGGTTTTGATCGCAGTGAGGTTTGAATTACGAGTCGGACTCGCAACGCCCAAGCCACAGGCGCTGCCTCGCTATCAGAGCGTTGAGATAATTGTGTCAGAGCTGTGTCAGATCTGTGTTAGAGCTGTGACAGAGCTGTGTCATAGCTACGTCATATCTCTGTTAGAGATGTGAGAGAGCTATGAGAGAGCTGCATGAGACCTGTATTGGAGCTGTGAGAGAACTGTGAGAAAGCTGTATGAGAGCTGTATGAAAGCAATGTAAGTGAATACCCCTTTTCTTGTCATGCATGTATCAGACATATGATGCTAAACCTACATTCTATTGACAGAACTGACGTTTAATGGGCGAGGTGTTCAACTTTATGGCAGTTACCTTTATTTCGTAGCTGGGTCGACCTTGAAGCCCTAGGTTAATTATTATAAACTCTGTCTCACTGCAGATTCGAACCTAACACTTTTGAGCCGAATTTGTTCTTGAACAAGCAAATGCCACATTCTGTTGCGGTTTACCGCCAAGCTGCAAAATCTAATCCTTTCCGGCCAGCACATCCGACTCAGTAAACTAGTAATTATCCATCTTTTACAACATGTTTGTTAAACGGCAATGCATCTGTATTTTGTGTTCCTTCTTCTGCAACAATGGAGCCCAGACAAGCCTGTTCTTCATCGTCCTTGTTGAGCCATCCAACACTAAACTACAGTGGAACATACTGGTTGGTTGTCCCCTTTCGAGCTTGTCCTTTTCCAGGACTTGAGTTTTGCATGTACATCCGTTTTACAGATCTGGCTGATTTGTGTGATGAGTGTTGGTTCCTTGCTTCTCAGACAGATGGACTTCAATTTGGAAGAAAACATTGATCCTATCTACGTTGGCCAGGCTCCCCGTTGGAAACCTGTTTCTGGGATGACCATGGAGAAGTGTAGGCAGATTTTCACCAGTTTGAGCCGTGCTCCCGGACACCATCAAGTGTGAGGCAGCACCTCGGCATCCCTGCCCCAAACACAGGACACCGAAGACCATTTACCTGTTAGTGCAGATGCTCTGGTATCTGGTGAAGACCCGCTTGTCCCTGTCCAGTTTGTAAATAGTGGAGTTTGTCCTGTAGCTGTCGATTTCCTGGTAGTTCTGACTGCCGTAGTTGTAAGCGTTTGCCACAGCGAGGTAGTGGTCGTTGTTGATAGTGAAGTGCTCCCAGTCCGTGGCTCCATTAGTCTGAAAACATCAACAACACCCATGTTTACAAACCAACCACATTAGCAGTAATAAAGTACTTACTGCCCTTTACCCACCTTTTGGGCATATAGGGTCAGACCTACGTTTTGATAGTCCAATCAGTGCTCGAAGAATGATATAGTAAACATCACATTGGACTCCTTTACTTCTCAGGATAGTACCTGCTACTCGTACCAAGAACACTCACAAACAGGGAGAACATACCATACACAGACATGCAGGAAGGACACCGCACAAAACAGACAGGGACACTGAACCATTTAATATGGGATAAAAACGGAATTGTAGCCAAATAATTTGGCGCCAAAAACACAAGGAGATGAATGAGTGTGGCCAGATTGTAACCATATCAGATCGGATCGGAGCTGACGGATGGATCTTACTGAAGACCCTTACACATTTCCGTGAGAAAAGGGGGATTGGGGAGGGAGGGGGGGGGGGGGGGGTCAGCCCAAAGTCCTAGAACCCATGTGCTGTCCCTGTTTCCTGTTTCAGTTTACTGCACATGCCTCAGTACGCCGCCACTGTTTACGTGTTTTATTTCATTGTAGTTCTTTCTGTTTGTCAGTTGTTAATGTCTCTTGTTTTGTCCGTGGAAAGTCTGGTTGTTTGGGTTGTGCCTTTTCCTTTTCTTAAGGATGTGAATATAGATAAATGGATTGAACTGTATTTGTAAGGATAAAAAACCACAACAACAACAGCAATGACAACAACAGCAACGGATTGGGGAAAGGAGTATGTTAACAAGAAACCCAAAGATAGTCGTTGAACAGAGAGGCAGACATTTTGGCTAAAGCAGAATGGAAGAATAAACTACAAGACATATGCAACGTTTGACGGCACAGCAGCAGGATAATGATAATGGTGATGATTATGATGATGAAGATGATGAGGATAATGACTAAAGATGTAACTGAACAATAGGCTGTATTTAACGTGTCTACCTCTAATGTTTGGAATTGGATCCAGGAACTGTTTTGCCAGAAGTAGAGGACGGAGAAGACCAGAGTTGTCAAGCCAGAGAATGCATTGGCTACGGCCAGAAAATGGTAGCCATCCACTGTGAAGTGTGTCCAGTCGTAGGCCCCAATGGTCAACAGCCGCTGGTGCTCCAGAAACTGGCGCTCTCGACTCGACCACTTGTAAACAATGGAGTCAATCTGATTGTTATCACCTGGGGAAATGTTTTGTCAAATTACAATTGTTTGAAAAAGGAAATAATCAATGCAAGGCAACATGACTGGCAACAGACAGGGCACCACAGACAGGGCACCACAGACAGGGCACCACAGACAGGGCACCACAGACAGGGCACCACAGACAGGGCACCACAGACAGGGCATCACATACAGGGCACCACAGACAGGGCACCACAGACAGGGCATCACAGACAGGGCACCACAGACAGGGCACCACAGACAGGGCACCACAGACAAGGCACCTTAGACAGGGCACCACAGACAGGGCACCACAGACAGGGCACCACAGACAGGGCACCACAGACAGGGCAACACAGACAGGGCACCACAGACAGGGCACCACAGACAGGACACCACAGACAGGGCACCATAGACAGGGCACCACAGACAGCAATGTTTTACAAATACAGCAGTAACACAGCCAGCGGTAGACCACACACAATATAAACCAAAGAACTATCAGAGACACTGAGAAGTAATATATACGAATGTACGAGGGACAGTTAAAAAGTAATGCCTCTTTTTTTTTTAAATCCGTGCAAATACTCAGTCAGTGTGCAATTTGTAGATTTAGCAGAATTCTTCAAAGACCCTTCTGCACTGTTTAGCATTAGCCATCTGTTTCAGTAACATGTGGCTCCACTGAAAAGACAGAGATAACATTGGGAACTGGAAGCCGTCGTGGTGTAGCGACTAGAAGCTCCCCTGCGAATGCGAAGGTCTAGGGTTGTGGTCCTGACGAAACTGGGCCTTTTTCAAAAATTACCTTGGCTCTCAGGTCGATCACATCTCAACTGGGTACCAGTTGAAGTCATGGGAGGTAAAGACGGCCCGTGTGATTGTGACCACATCACACACTGCGTGTAGCTTCATATGCGTAATAGGCCTGGAGGCGTGAAAAGGGGTCTTTTAAAAATAAAAATCCAAAAGTTTGAATTTTAGACATGGGGGCAACATTTTAGTGTGAATTTCATCTGTCTCTCTGTCTAACTAGTGCAGTTAAGAATTACGAGGCACTGCTGTTTGGCTGTCCAATCGAAGATCTCTTTCTGTCCTGACGCTGCAAGCTATTCACGGAGTAGAGAATATATGGGGAAGAAAGAATGTCGCTGTAAAATAGGTTTGATCATTTGGTTTGAGTGCTGTACTTAGATTCTCCATATGCTTGATCTACGGGGGAAGACTGTGGCACCTACTGAAATATCCAAGTGCAATGGAATTGAGGCTTTACTGTGAAGATCAACCAAAGCAGGGGTTCTCAAACTGTGGGTCACGACCTTTTTGTGGGTCGAACGACCTTTCACAGGGGTCACGACCTTTTTGTGGGTCGAACGACCTTTCACAGGGGTCGCCAAAGAACATCGGAAAACACATATTCATTTAAGTTACGAAGAAGCAACGAAAATGGTTGGGGGTTGTACAACATGAGAAAATGTACTGAAGGATCGTCGCATTATAAAGATTGAGAGCCACTGAACTTAAGAAAATAGTGGGTTCCCAACCTGTAGAACAGCTAGTTACTTCGTGACTACTGTGTGTTGTCATATCACTAGATGATACGGTAGAATAGCTAGTTACTTCGTGACTACTGTGTGTTGTCATATCACTAGATGATACCGTAGAATAGCTTCAGGTGGGCAAATCTGCGGGAGGTCTAAGTTCGATCCCAGATAATTGTTCTGCCTAGAACAACAATCAGAATTCTAACATGAACAGCCTCTGGCGACTGTAGAGTCTATGGCGACTGTAGAGTCTGTGGCGACTGTAGAGTCTGTGTCGACTGTAGAGTCTGTGGTGACTGGAGAGTCTGTGTCGACTGTAGAGTCTGAGGCAATTGTAGAGTCTGTGGCGACTGTAGAGTCTGTGGCGACTGTAGAGTCTGAGGCAATTGTAGAGTCTGTGGCGACTGTAGAGTCTGAGGCAATTGTAGAGTCTGTGGCGACTGTAGAGTCTGTGGTGACTACAGAGTCTGTGGCGACTGTAGAGTCTGAGGCAATTTTAGAGTCGGTGGCGACTGTAGAGTTTCTTGCGACTGTAGGGTATGTGGCGATTGTATAGTCTGTAGCGACTGTAGAGTCTGTGGTGACTGTAGAGTCTGTGTCGACTGTAGAGTCTAAGGTGACTGTAGAGTCTGAGACAACTGTAGAGAGTCTGAGGCGACCGTCGAGTCTGAGGCGACCGTCGAGTCTGAAACGACTGTAGAGTCTGTGGTGATTGTAGAGTCTGTGTCGACTGTAGTGTCTAAGGCGACTGTAGAGTCTGAGACAACTGTAGAGAGTCTGAGGCGACTGTCGAATCTGAAACGACTGTAGAGTCTGTGGCGACTGTAGGTCTGTGGCGACTGTAGATTCTGTGTCGACTGTAGAGTCAAGAGTTGTTCCACTCTTAGAGCTGTGCCTTCTCTCTGTTAAAGAAAACAAGAATGGACCCACTGCCTCCGTAACCAAGCATGTCGCAAGAATCGACCAATCAAGGGTTTCCTCCAAAGTCAGAGTGCATTTGCCATAGAGGCAAGGAACCAACAGTCTGCATACACATAGCCAGATCTGTAAAACAGATGTTTACAAAACATTAAAGGTCTAGCCAAAGGCCGAAGTTTAAGAGTGGACGAACAACCAGAACTTTCTATCGTAGTTTACAACGGGTTAATACTAAGAAGAAGAAGAAGAAGAAGATAACATAATTCTAGGGTCACCTGGTGTCAGTCTTTAAGGCTGTAATCCTGGATAGATAAAACTAAAGAAACAGGGGGAAAAAATGGGGGGGGGGGGGGGCAGTAAGTGAGGGTATTCACTACTGTACCTTGAGCGTGATTAGCCACCGCAAGATAAGAATGGCCATTGATCTCAAACGCTTCCACATCTCGGGCCGTGTATGTGACAATATCCTGATATTTGTGGAATTTTTTCCGGACTTTATTCCACTTGAAGATGGTGGAGTTTGACGGAATGGACGGGTTGATTCCATAGTTGGCCACTGCAAGGAAAAACTGAAATTCAAATCGATGCACAAAAATGAGATATGGCAAAAGTTACAATCCAATGTGGTTGGAAGATATTAATGAATAATGGTGGAAGAAGGAGATAAGAGTGAACTTAAAAACGATAAATATTAAACTGTTTATAAAAATATTTGTGTGAGTGTGTTTGTGTGTGTGTGTGTGTGTGTGTGTGTGTGTCAGTGGGGGAGGGGGGAGGGGGGTGTTGTGTTTCTGCAAATCTTTTTTTTTTTTTACCATCGCCTTTTAAACGGCTGCTAGCACATTGTGTTGTGGTTTACAGCTAGATTTTGACATCTGTGCCTTCTGGTCCAACACATCCGATTCAAGTGAATCCTCAGTTAGTCGCATGGTCATTGCCCCCCCCCCCCCCCCCCCCCCCCCCCCCCCGAATCCAAACCCCCGCTCGCAAAGGGCACTGTATCCACCCAGCTATTTAAGTTGTTTTACCCGTGTCTAGAGAATGTGTGAGTATAGATGGCCACATCGTCATTAATTGTTAAATATATTTTGAGTTTCGTTTTGTTTTATTATTATTTTACCATCGCCTTCAAAACGTCATGTATCAATTCTGCACTTATTTAACAGCACTCATTGTGAAAGATTCTTCTTAACGCCAGCAGGTCTTGCTAGTCACACTCGCCATCGCCACTGGCTTTGATACATGTACCTCCTGCTAACACAGTATTACACAATAGTCTTGGAAACGGCAGGTGCCATCAAAAGCATCAAGATAGTCTCTTTTCCCTTTTTTCCTAGCACAGTTCTAAGTCTCTTCTTCTTATTTGCATCCACCGACTGCTGTTTGTCCACCGCTGGACCTCCGTCTTATTTTAGAACCTGAGCGTTGTGTGTACATCCGTTTTACAGATCTGACTTATTTGCATCTTATTTGCATGTACACTGTTCCTTGCCTGTTAGACAGACGCACTCCGACTTTCGGGAATCCCCACAAATAGACGACTAATGGGGCCCCGGAGCCCACACTAGGAACAATTATAAGCATTCCCCTTATAACGATGCACAACGTTAATGTTGTCTTCAGTTGTCCCTTGTTATCATCTGCAGGTGCCTTGCTGACTGGCGTGGGCGATCATGCCTCTCCATAATCTGCGATCTCCTGCAGCATGTATCAGTTCGTGTGCCGACACACCTCCATGCCATGCAACAAGACTGTCAAGTTTCAGCTTCATAGCAAACGGGTCACCAGATCTTTGCTCCGCTCCTGTGCCAACGAAAAACACACAGAATGTTTATCACTGTATTAGAATTGCAGTTCATCATTGATGGTAGCAGAAGTCGCCAACAGATCAGCAGTTGCCCACGCGATCAATTTTAATCACATACTGCACCACAACACTGCACGACAGGCATCGCGCCATTTTCTGAATCTACAATTCACACCACCACGTTGGTCACAGTCGAAAAAACATTCCAAATGCAATCCGCAGCTCACAGGGTCACGCCTTGCATTCAACTCAGAAGCTGCGCGACGAAACTATATCCAGTCTACAAATGGAGCAAAAATGCTTCGGCCACCGTCCGGCAGAAGCAACAAATTTGCCTCTGTTTCGAACAGTGCCGCTGCCTAACGTCCATTTTGACTGATGGTGACGATGATGACGATGATGGTAACTATGATAATGGTAACGATAATGATGATGATGGTAACTATGATGATGGTGACGATGATGACGATGATGGTAACTATGATGATGGTAACGATGATGATGATGATGGTAACTATGAGGATGGTAACAATGATGATGGTAACGATGATGATGGTAACAATGATGATGGTAACGATGATGATGGTAACAATGATGATGGTAACGATGATGATGGTAACAATGATGATGGTAACAATGACGATGGTAACTATGATGATGGTAACTATGATGATGGTAACTATGATGATGTTAACTATGATGATGATAACGATGATGATGGTAAATATGATGATGGTAACAATGATGATGGTGACTATGATGATGGTAACAATGATTATGGTGACTATGATGATCGTAACAATGATGATGGTAACTATGATGATGGCAACAATGATGATGGTAACTATGATGATGGTAACAATGATGATGGTAACGATGATGATGGTAACGATGATGATGGTAACTATGATGATGGCAACAATGATGATGGTAACTATAATGATGGTAACAATGATGATGGTGACTATGATGATAGTAACACTGATGATTGTAACAATGATGATGGTGACTATGATGATGGTAACTATGATGATGGTAACTATGATGATGGTAACTATGATGATGGTAACTATGATGATGGTAACTATGATGATGGTAACTATGATGATGGTAACTATGATGATGGTAACAATGATGATGGTGACTATGATGATGGTAAAAATGATGATAGTGACCTTGATGATGGTAACAATGATGATGGTAACTATGATGATGGTAACAATGATGATAGTACCTATGAAGATGGTAACTATGATGATGGTAACAATGATGATAGTAAATATGATGATGGTAACAATGATGATATTAACTATGATGATGGTAACGATGATGATGGTAACAATGATGATGGTAACTATGATGATGGTAACAATGATGATGGTAACAATGATGTTGGTAGCTATGATGATGGTAATTATGATGATGCTAACAATGATCATGGTAACTATGATGATGGTAACAATCATGATGGTGACTATGATGATGGCAACAATGATGATGGTAACTATGATGATGGTAACGATGATGATGGTAACTATGATGATGGTAACAATGATCATGGTAACTATGATGATGGTAACAATGAAGATGGTAACTATGATGATGGTAACAATGATGATGGTGACTAGGATGATGGTAACAATGATCATGGTAACTATGATGATGGTGACTATGATGATGGTAACAATGATGATGGTAACAATGATGATGATGATGGTAACGATAATGTTGGTAACTATGATGATAGTAACGATGATGATGATGATAGTAACTATGATGATGGTAACAATGATGACGATGATGGTAACTACGACGATGGTAACAATGATAATGGTAACAATGATAATGGTTACTATGATGATGGTAACGATGATGATGATGGTAACGATGATGATGGTAATTATGATGATGGTGCCGATGATGACGGTGACGATGATGATGGTGACGATGATGATGGTGACGATGATGATGATGATGGTAACTGTGATGATGGTAACTATGATGATAGTAACTATGATGATGGTACCTATGATGATGGTAACTATGATGATAGTAACTATGATGATGGTAACGATGATGATGGTAACTTTGATGATGGTAACAATGATGATGGTAACAATGATGGTAATTATGATGATGGTAACTATGATGATGGTGACAATGATGATGGTAACTATGGTGATGTTAACTATGATGATGGTAACTATGATGATGGTAACTATGATGATGGTAATAATGATGATGGTGACTATAATGATGGTAACTATGATGATGGTAACTATGATGATGGTAACTATGATGATGGTAACTATGGTGATGGTAACAATGATGATGGTGACTATGATGATGGTAAATATGATGATGGTGACTATGATGATGGTAACAATGATGATGGTAACTATGATGATGGTGACAATGATTATGGTGACTATGAAGATGGTAACTATGATGATGGTAACTATGATGATGGTAATAATGATGATGGTGACTATGATGATGGTAACTATGATGATGGTAACTATGATGATGGTAACTATGATGATGGTAACTATGATGATGGTAACTATGGTGATGGTAACAATGATGATGGTGACTATGATGATGGTAAATATGATGATGGTGACTATGATGATGGTAACAATGATGATGGTAACTATGATGATGGTGACAATGATTATGGTGACTATGATGATGGTAACTATGATGATGGTAACAATGATGATGGTGACTATGATGATGGTAACAATGATGATGGTGACTATGATGATGGTAACAATGATGATGGTGACTATGATGATGGTAACAATGATGATGGTGACTATGATGATGGTAACTATGATGATGGTAACAATGATGATGGTGACTGTGATGATGGTAACAAAGATTATAGTGACTATGATGATGGTAACTATGATGATGGTGACTATGATGATGGTAACAATGATGATGGTAACTATGATGATGGTAACAATGATGATGGTAACTATGATGATGGTAACGATGATGATGGTAATTATGTTGATGGTGCCGATGATGATGGTGAAAATGATGATGGTGACTATGATGATGGTAGCAATGATGATGGTAACAATGATGATGCTAACTATGATGATGGTAACTATGATGATGGTTACTATGATGATGGTAACAATGATGATGGTAACTATGATGATGGTAACTATGATAATGGTAACTATGATGATGGTAACTATGATGATGGTAACAATGATGATGGTAACGATGATGATGGTAATTATGATGATGGTGCCGATGATGATGGTCACAATGATGATGGTGACTATGATGATGGTAACAATGATGATGGTAACAATGATGATGGTAACAATGATGATGGTAACTATGATGATGGTAGCAATGATGATGGTGACTATGATGATGGTAACAATGATGATGGTGACTATGATGATGGTAACAATGATGATGGTAACAATGATGATGGTAACAATGATGATGGTAACAATGATGATGGTAACAATGATGATGGTAACTATGATGATGGTAACTATGATGATGGTAACAATGATGATGGTAACAATGATGATGGTAACAATGATGATGGTAACTATGATGATGGTAACTATGATGATGGTAACAATGATGATGGTAACTATGATGATGGTAACAATGATGATGGTAACAATGATGATGATGGTAACTATGATGATGGTAACAATGATGATGGTGACTATGATGATGGTAACAATGATGATGGTAACAATGATGATGGTAACAATTATGATGGTAAAAATGATGATGGTGACTATGATGATGGTAACAATGATTATGGTGACTATGATGATGGTAAACTGATGATGATGATGGTGTTAACTATGATGATGGTATGATGATGGTAACTATGATGATGATGGTAACTATGATGATGGTAACAATGATGATGGTAACTATGATGATGATGATGATGGTAATAATGATGATGGTAAACAATGATGATGGTAACATGATGATGGTAACAATGATGATGGTAACAATGATGATGGTAACAATGATGATGGTAACTATGATGATGGTAACTATGATGATGGTAACAATGATGATGGTAACTATGATGATGGTAACGATGATGATGGTAATTATGATGATGGTGACGATGATGATGGTGACGATGATGATGGTAACTATGATGATGGTAACAATGATGATGGTAACTATGATGATGGTAACAATGATGATGGTAACTATGATGATGGTAACAATGATGATGGTGACTAGTATGATGATAACAATGATGATGGTAACTATGATGATGGTGACTATGATGATAGTAACAATGATGATGGTAACAATGATGATGATGATGGTGACGATGATGATAACTATGATGATGGTTACGATGATTATGATGATGGTAACTATGATGATGGTAACAATGATGATGATGATGGTAACGATGATGATTATGATGGTAACGATGATGATGGTAACTATGATGATGGTAACAATGATGATGGTAACTATGATGATGGTAACGATGATGATGGTAACTATGATGATGGTAACGATGATGATGGTAACAATGATGATTGTAACTATGATGATGGTAACGATGATGATGGTAACTATGATGATGGTAACGATGATGATGGTAACTATGATGATGGTAACTATGATGATGGTAACTATGATGGTAACTATGATGATGGTAACTATGATGATGGTAACTATGATGATGGTAACAATGATGATGGTAACAATGATGATGGTAACGATGATGATGGCGATGATGATGACGATGACAATGATGCTTTTGACGACGATGATGATGATGGTAACGATGATAATGTTGGCGATGATGTTGACAGTGACAATAATAATAGTGACGATGATGTTAACGACGATGATGATGGGGATGACTATGATAGTGATGATGACGTTAACGATGATGTTAGCGATGACGATGATGATATTAACAATGATAATAATAGTGAAGACGACTATGATTGTTTTCATAGTTTTAAAACACTATTTGTATTTACAATCACCTACCTGGTTTCTGATAGAGAAGAACTTCCAGGCTTGGGCTGACTGGGTCGGGAGGGTCTGATACAAGGTCAGCTTGCTGTCTGCCCAGTGGTAGATGTTGGACCTGTCACATGTATACAACACAATCGTGTCAACTAGACACTAGCCACAGGTATACAACACAATCGTGTCAACTAGACACCTGCTACAGGTATACAGCACAATCGTGTCAACTAGACACCTGCCACAGGTATACAACACAATCGTGTCAACTAGACACCTGCAACAGGTATACAACACAATCGTGTCAACTACACACCTGCCACAGGTATACAACACAATCGTGTCAACTAGACACCTGCCACAGGTATACAACACAATCGTGTCAACTAGACACCTGCCACAGGTATACAGCACAATCGTGTCAACTAGACACCTGCCACAGGTATACAGCACAATCGTGTCAACTAGACACCTGCCACAGGTATACAACACAATCGTGTCAACTACACACCTGCCACAGGTATACAACACAATCGTGTCAACTAGACACCTGCCACTAGTATACAGCACAATCGTGTCAACTACACACCTGCCACAGGTATACAGCACAATCGTGTCAACTAGACACCTGCCACAGGTATACAACACAATCGTGTCAACTAGACACCTGCCACAGGTATACAGCACAATCGTGTCAACTAGACACCTGCCACAGGTATACAGCACAATCGTGTCAACTAGACACTAGCCACAGGTATACAACACAATCGTGTCAACTAGACACCTGCCACAGGTATACAACACAATCCTGTCAACTAGACACCTGCCACAGGTATACAACACAATCCTGTCAACTAGACACTAGCCACAGGTATACAACACAATCGTATCAACTAGACACCTGCCACAGGTATACAACACAATCGTGTCAACTAGACACTAGCCACAGGTATACAACACAATCGTGTCAACTAGACACCTGCCACAGGTATACAACACAATCGTGTCAACTAGACACCTGCCACAGGTATACAACACAATCGTGTCAACTAGACACCTGCCACAGGTATACAGCACAATCGTGTCAACTAGATACCTGCCACAGGTATACCTGAGGTAACGTAAACAACTACCTGGACTGAGGTAAATAACTACCTGGACTGAGGTAAACAACTACCTGGACTGAGGTAAATAACTACCTGGACTGAGGTAAACAACTACCTGGACTGAGGTAAACAACTACCTGGTCTGAGGTAAACAACTACCTGGACTGACGTGAACAACTACCTGGACCGACATAAACAACTACCTGGACTGAGATAAACAACTACTTAGACTATGGTAAACAACTACCTGGACTGACGTAAACAACTACCTGGACTGACATAAACAACTACCTGGACTGACGTAAACAACTACCTGGACTGAAGTAAACAACTACCTGGACTGAGGTAAACAACTACCTGGACTGAAGTAAACAACTGCCTGGACTAAGGTAAACAACTACCTGGACTGAGGTAAACAACTACCTGGACTGAGGTAAAAAAAACTACATTGACTGACGTGAACAACTACCTAGACTGAGGTAAACAACTACCTGGACTGAGGTAAACAACTACTTAAACTGAGGTAAACAACTACCTGGATTGAGGTAAACAACCTCCTAGACTGACGTAAGCAACTACCTGGACTTAGGTAAACAACTACTTAGAATGAGGTATACAAATACCTGGACTGAGATAAACAACTACCTGGACTGAGATAAACAACTACATGGACAGGTAAACAACTACTTAGACTGAGGTAAACAACTACCTGGACTGAGGTAAACAACTACCTGGACTGAGGTAAACAACTACTTAGACTTAGGTAAACAACTGCCTGGACTGAGGTAAACAACTACCTGGATTGAGGTAAACAACTACCTGGACTGAGGTGAACAACTACCTGGACTGAGGTAAACAACTACCTGGACTGAGGTAAACAACTACCTGGACTGAGGTAAACAACTACTTAGACTTAGGTAAACAACTGCCTGGACTGAGGTAAACAACTACCTGGACTGAGGTAAACAACTACCTGGACTGAGGTAAACAACTACCTGGACTGAGGTAAACAACTACCTGGACTGAGGTAAACAACTACCTGGACTGAGGTAAACAACTACCTGGACTGACGTGAACAACTATCTGGACTGAAGTGAACAACTACCTGGACTGAGGTAAACAACTACCTGGACTGAGGTAAACAACTACCTGGATTGAGGTAAACAACTACCTGGACTGACGTGAACAACTACCTGGACTGACGTAAACAACTACCTGGACTGAGGTAAACAACTACCTGGACTGAGGTAAACAACTACCTGGACTGAGGTAAACAACTACCTGGACCGACATAAACAACTACCTGGACTGAGATAAACAACTACCTGGATTGTGGTAAACAACTACCTGGACTGAGGTAAACAACTACCTGGACTGAGGTAAACAACTACCTGGACTGAGGTAAACAACTACGTGGACTGAGGTAAACAACTACCTGCACCGACGTAAACAACTACCTGAACTGACGTAAACAAATACCTGGACTGACGTAAACAACTACCTGAACTGACGTAAACAACTACCTGAACTGACGTAAACAACTACCTGGACTGAGGTAAACAACTACCTGGACTGAAGTAAACAACTACCTGGACTGAAGTAAACAACTACATGGACTTAGGTAATCAACTACCTGGACTGAACTGACGTCTGCAATCCCGCCGAGGCATACGCTGCGAATGTTCCCTCGCCAGGGATCTCAAAGACCTCAATGTCCAACACTCCCTGTCCGGTATCCAACAGCTGGTGCGGCAACAGGTAGTCTAGTTTCCTCTTGTCTGTGAACAGTTTCAAAGTCAACTGTCAGTTGAAAATCAAATCTATACAGACAGACAGGGCTTTTGTATCTAGAAAGAAAAGCAAAACAGTGCCTGTACTACCCAAAATGTGTTCTAAACGATGTCGGTGCTCATCGCAAAGGGTCTAGTATAGTTGCACTGAAAAAAAATGAAGTTTATAGACTGATGTCGATACTACTGACCGTCTTTTACCACTAGAGACAACAACAACAACAAAGCCCTAGAGAACACACCTAGTGTATCAGACACCGGCATACATTCTGGCAAGCAAAGAACAATACTACTGCAAGTTACCAATCATCTTACGAGATGAGAATAAGAAGTGCATAACACTGGAAACCGCAGCCCAGACAACTTGGGGTGCACACTGGAAACCGCAGCCCTGACAACTTGTGGTGCACACTGGAAACCGCAGCCCTGACAACTTAAGGTGCACACTGGAAACCGCAGCCCAGACAACTTGAGGTGCACACTGGAAACCGCAGCCCTGGCAACTTGAGGTGCACACTGGAAAACCCAGCCCAGACAACTTGAGGTGCACACTGGAAACCGCAGCCCAGACAACTTGAGGTGCAAACTGAACAATCATGAACAACTTCATCCCTCGTATGTATTGCATTCTTATATACTACCAATGCAAAGATTAAACAGCATTAAAAGTGTTTGGTTAAGCACCAGCAAGGAGATCAAAATTAGAATTTTGAGAGCATGAATCGTCCCTGTAGCAACATGCGGATGTGAGTCGACTATTTCCCAGTCCTTAAGAAAGAGAATAGGGGCTTTAGAGCCCAAATGCTATAGAAAAATTCTCAAAATATCTCGGACAAAGAAGAGGATAAATACTGACATCTTGTAAGATCTGAACATCAAGGAAGATTGTCTAATAAACAGCATCCTGCCTCGGAAGCTGAAATATTTTGGTCATATCAAGCGCCACAACGGATTAGAAAAAATTATAGCAGAAGGCATGGTACCAGGAAGGAGGGACGGGGGCTGACCGACACGAAGATGGGTACATGAAATTAGTGACTCCTTGAGTGTGAAAGCGCATGAGGCGGGACAACTGTCAAGAGACCAAGTTTCTTTCAGACAAACTGTGATGAGAGCGACGTTCTGCAAAGGACCTGCTATATGATGATTATGACTACCGCAGTATGTCTTGTTTATCCCGAAATCTCCCGCATGGCTTCCTTCTGTATGAGTTCAAATTTCATCAGCTGACTCTTTGATATGGTAAGCATTCCAAGCCCACAATCTATCCCGGAAAGCATCACAAACTTTACTAGGGGGAACATCATTTTTTGTTGGGGGTTGGGGAGGAGTTGTTTCATGTCCATTGATGTCATGTTCATGTGTGCACTGAGTTCTTTCTAACACTTCAAGCAATGACCTACCCCGTATTGTATGATTCTATTCAAACGAAGATTGCAGGCAGAAGAAGACTACGTCAATACAACTGTCTTCACGAGCAATCACCCAACCAACATTCAGAGTGCTTCCCCTCTATCCTTGAGGATCCATACCTGGGCTGACCTTGACCTCCCGCCAGACTCCATTGACACAGACTTTCAACTTTCTGGCATACACATCAAAGGCGATGTTTCCCACATCTGTCCACTCACACATGACAGGTGTGGTGTAAAATGGCGTCAGGGAGGAGCGACCTTCGTTAAACAGAAGACAAGATGATACTTTTGAATGAATTACAACGGAAAATGAAATAAAATAGATTAGTACATAACAGTTAATTTTAACAATAGAAAATGTAATATAACAGATTGGTCGCTTAATGAATTACAACAACAGAAAAAGCAATCTAACATATTGGTACACATACATTAATTAAAACATTAGAAAATGTAATATAACAGACTGGTACACACCAATGAATTACAACAACAGAAAATGTAATATAACAGATTGGTACACATAAATGAATTACAACAACAGAAAATGTAATATAACAGACTGGTACACACCAATGAATAACAACAACAGAAAATGTAATATAACAGATTGGTACACATAAAATAACTACAACAGAAAATGTAATATAACAGATTGGTACACATAAATTAATTACAACAACAGAAAATTTAATATAACAGACTGGTACACACCAATGAATTACAATAATAGCTAGTTAGTCGACAGATTGTCCACACTGCACATGGAACTACTCAGTCACAAGTCCTCAGACCGCCTCTTCAGTAAATCCCGCAGCGTGTTGCGGCTGACACACCAGTACTACGCTGGCTTGTTATTCTTCTTTGGCTTCTTGAATAGTGTTCTTGTCTGGCCACACTCCTTTTAATTTTTGTTCTTGCAGTCTACTGACGGCAGCAGATTCACAGTCATCACCTGGTTCTTGCAGTCTAGTGACGGCAGCAGATTCACAGTCATCACCTGGTTCTTGCAGTCTAGTGACGGCAGCAGATTCACAGTCATCACCTGGTTCTTGCAGTCTAGTGACGGCAGCAGATTCACAGTCATCACCTGGTTCTAATTTCTCGTAGAGAATTAAGTAAATCTACATGGTCCATGGCATGTCCGCCAGCCACGGTAGCTTTACCTGCAAGTCTATCAGCCTACTCATTTCCTTGCCCACCTTCGTGTCCTGACACAAACATAAAACTGATATGCAGTAAAAACTACAAAATGACAGGCTGGTACACATATAAGAACTGTAACAGTAGAAAGTACCATAAACATATTCTTACATATAAAAGTCTTGCAACAACAGAAAGTACAATATAACAGATTGGTACATGTAAAGGAATTACAACAGAAGAAAGTACAATATAACACATTGGTACATGTAAATAAATTGCAACAGTAGAAAGTACAAAATAACACATTGGTACATGTAAATGAATCACAACAGTTGAAAGTACGGTATAAACAGATTTGTACATGTAAATGAATTACAACAGTAGAAAGTACAATATAACAGATTGGTACACGTAAATGAATCACAACAGCAGAAAGTACAATATAACAGATTGGTACATGTAAATGAATTGCAACAGTAGAAAGTACAATATAACAGATTGGTACATATAAAAATTACAATAGTGAAAAGTACAATATAACACATTGGTACATGTAAATGAATCACAACAGTAGAAAGTACGATAAAAACAAATTGGTACATGTAAATGAATTACAACAACAGAAAAGTTAGTTGCATATCCGCAACATAAGGATGACTGCTAGTCAGCCAAAACAGGTGTTGGCTGTTTGAGGTTGTACAATGTTCTAGTCAATTTTACGCTCAGTAGTTTGCCATTGCACTCTCAGGTGCTCAAAACCAATGTTGAAATCAAGACAAACCGGTCTGCTGCCAAGTCATCCACTGATGAATCGAATGAGACTATCAGAATTACAAATTGTGCTGGCATCTGCGAAGCCACAGAACCACATGACAAGAGACAGAACAATCTAACAAACTGACAGATGGTGTACACACAAGACAGAACAATCTAACAAACTGACAGACTGGTGTACACATAAGTGAGCAGCCAACAGTCTAAAAACAGTCAGCTGACAGACTGGTGTACACATAAGTGAGCAGCCAACAGTCTAAAAACAGTCAGCTGACAGACTGGTGTACACATAAGTGAGCAGCCAACAGTCTAAAAACAGTCAGCTGACAGACAGGTGTACACATAAGTGAGCAGCCAACAGTCTAAAAACAGTCAGCTGACAGACAGGTGTACACATAAGTGAGCAGCCAACAGTCTAAAAACAGTCAGCTGACAGACTGATGTACACATAAGTGAGCAGCTAACAGTCTAAAAACAGTCAGCTGACAGACTGGTGTACACATAAGTGAGCAGCCAACAGTCTAAAAACAGTCAGCTGACAGACAGGTGTACACATAAGTGAGCAGCTAACAGTCTCCAAACAGTCAGCTGACAGACTGATGTACACATAAGTGAGCAGCCAACAGTCTCCAAACAGTCAGCTGACAGACTGGTGTACACATAAGTGAGCAGCCAACAGTCTAAAAACAGTCAGCTGACAGCCCGACTATCAAGTCGCACACAGCTCTCTCTCGCTCGCTCGATACCGCCCGATAAAGCCACGTGTGTGTCTCTCGTTGCTTGCCAACTATCCATTCGTAGCCAGATTATCAATAGCTAGATACTGGTCAGAACTCGCTTGACATTCGGCTGAGTTTTGGCTCGACTAGACTATTGTTATTCGGCTGCGGGTGGGTTATTGGCGGCCCGGGAGCACAGCATTGTTTGAGAGCCAGTCATACCAGCCAGTATTTTAAACGATTGCTAGAGAACTAAGGAGAAAGCACGCTTGGGTGTCCTTTTTAGGATACTCTAACAAGCCTTGCCGACTCCGAAGGGACCTAGCTTTCGCCACAGACCGCAATTGCCATCGTTGATTTCTCTATCATGGGAAAACAACAAGCAGCCGCTCCTACACCAAGGAAGAGGAGAGCCGTACCAGCAGCTTCACCGGCAGGCGCCCCTATCGCGGCGCCTCGCACACCTACGCCAACAACTGAAGCCGCCCCCATCGTGGCGCCAACACCAGAAGCCGCCCCAGTCGTGGCGCAGGAACCTACCAGTACCCGCCTACGAAGCCAGCAGTCAGGAGCCCACAGCAGTGACAACATCATCCAGTGCTCACGCTGTAACAAGGCGTGGCACACAGCTGCAACCTGCCGCAGCAGCCCAGCATGCCGCTACTGCTCCAAGCCGCACGATTTCAAGGAGTGCCCACTAGCCAAGTTGGACCCTGACTTTAAAAAAAACCCAATAGTAGCAGACGATGCTCAAACTGTGGAGGGCCCCACAGCGCCAGATACCTGGGATGTACTTACCTAAAAAGGTGCAAGCAGCAAGCAGCCACACCAAATAGTGAGAGAAGACCAGAGAAGGTGATCCCAGTCGGAAACAACAACGCGACAACCCAGGAAGTGAGAGCACTCAAAATCGCAGTCCAGAAGCTGACAGCAGACAAAGAGAAGGCCACCGCTGAAAGACTTGAGATGCTGGGACTAATCTCCCAAACACTAGATGAAGTCAAAGCCCAGAAGAGAGACAGAATAGCAGAAGCTGCGCACCACACCAAACTGCTAGCAGAAGTAACTGAAGCAAACAAACAACTACAAGGCCTCCTGACACAGCTGAAGACAGAACAAGACCAGGCAGCAACGTACCGACTAGCCGAAAGAGAAGAAAGAAAAGCAGAGACGGCCTTACTTAACGAAGCCAGAGAGTCCGCGTACAGAGAAGTCGCCCAGCTAGTAAAAACAACAGCAGAAGCAGAAGCAGCTACTCGAGAATCAAAACAAAAACGAGAACTCTTACTAGCAGAGAAAAACAAGGCGCCAGCCGCAAAAGCAAACATCTGCAGGGCTGACAAAAGTACAGAAACAGAAACCGAAGAGGAAGGCACTGCCAAGCCAGATGAAGTAGCCGTGTCCGAAGCTAAAGAGGCGACCCCAACCGCAGATAAGGCCACTATTGTTGAAGGAGGCAAAGAGGCGGCAGCCGGCGAGGTGGAAAGCGAGGCCGACCTCCTAAAAAAGATAGAAGGCTTTAACAAACTGAACCACCCACACAGGATCGAGCTCGATAGTAGAAAACGCTACGATATCGTGTATGACGAGCCAGAGCTGGAGAAAGTTTACTTGCTGCCCGAAGAGGAAAGGCAAGCCTTCTTTAATAAAATCCACGCACACCAGGAACAGATAGAAGCAGCCCGAAAACAGCTGGCCCATGCAAGATGGAAGCAAAGGTGTCAGGGTACACCAAACCGACGCAACCGCAAGTACTGACAAGCCACCAAAACAAGACGAAGCCAACAGCCAATGGAAAACCTCCAAGCCGCCATGACACCCAGTCTCCGTAGAACCAGCCAACCTCACTGACGCGACAAAGCCTAGTCAACCAGATTGACCACTCCCACCCATCCCGTTCCAGGCCACCCGGCACATGTGGCTGTCCTTCTCAGGACAGCCATGTCCACTCCCTAAACCTGCAAGCCGCCCGCCAAGCCCACGCTGCTAACAAGAACGCAACAAATGCAAGAAAACTCAGGCGAAAACCATCGCCACAAAAGTAAAAAATCCAGCTCAGATAGCAAATGACTCGTCCTTGAGAAAACAGGCCATCAGGCAGTTAAAAAAGGACCAAGTTTGGAATTTTTGTTTCTTTTCATACGATACGATACGACAGGTGTACACATAAGTGAGCAGCTAACAGTCTCCAAACAGTCAGCTGACAGACTGGTGTACACATAAGTGAGCAGCCAACAGTCTAAAAACAGTCAGCTGACAGACAGGTGTACACATAAGTGAGCAGCTAACAGTCTCCAAACAGTCAGCTGACAGACTGGTGTACACATAAGTGAGCAGCCAACAGTCTCCAAACAGTCAGCTGACAGACTGGTGTACACATAAGTGAGCAGCCAACAGTCTCCAAACAGTCAGCTGACAGACTGGTGTACACATAAGTGAGCAGCCAACAGTCTAAAAACAGTCAGCTGACAGACAGGTGTACACATAAGTGAGCAGCCAACAGTCCCCAAACAGTCAGCTGACAGACAGGTGTACACATAAGTGAGCAGCCAACAGTCTAAAAACAGTCAGCTGACAGACTGGTGTACACATAAGTGAGCAGCCAACAGTCTAAAAACAGTCAGCTGACAGACTGGTGTACACAAAAGTGAGCAGCCAACAGTCTAAAAACAGTCAGCTGACAGACTGGTGTACACATAAGTGAGCAGCCAACAGTCTCCAAACAGTCAGCCACACACAGGCAACACAAGTCCCGGAACAAGACCAAAGTCTGAATAAGCAGAACTTTTTATCGGACCTCAGTCTGGTGAAGCGTTGTGGGGAGAAACATTTTGCAATCCACTGCTTTATTGGCAGCATTGGCTATTGCTATTCCGGGTCGATACAGAAACTCTTTAATGTCATCAATCCATGTTCTCCAAAAGCGGCCTCTTGCTTTCATTTAAGATCTTTTTATGTGTAGCGTCTGCGTGGGTAGTTGTTGTGGCTGCATTCTTACTAGATGACCAAACCATTTCATATTCTGTTTCTCAATGCATTTGCTGCCTGGTGTTGTTCCTACAGACTGTCTGATAATTTCATTTCTAAATTTGTCTCGGATTGTTGAGTTGGAGGCTTCTTCCAGGCTTCGCATTTCAAAGGTGTTAATTTTACGTAGGTTGACCTTTGATAATGTCCAAGTCTGGCATGGTGTTGGTATGAATATGCTGTTTATAATCTGTTTCTTGGCGCTCATACTAATTGTTGGCTGTCTAAATAACGGTGTAAGTTGATATATTTAAATTCTTCTACTTACGATACATGTGTCTCGCATATTGTCCTCTTCGGGATCCACGTTAGCGCAGTCGATAAGAGGCTCGCTTTCAAATCCAACTGCGACTTGCTGCAGTCCACGATCGGTGTTCGAAACCAGGCGGTTCCCGGGGGTCACCCAGCCTCTAGGAAATGGGTACCTGAGCTGACACTCTGGGGTAAATGGAGGAACGTCGCTGTAGCTACAGAGCTACGTGCGAAGGGCGACACAGGCGGACAATTCTTATCAACTGTCCGTACTGGTGGCAGAGCACTTATGGTTTATAACCGTGAGCAATGACGCTGGTTCACATCTCCTGACTTTACCTTTAACTTTAACTATAACAATAAACAGATGCCTCTATTCTGCCTCTGCTTCTTTCACCCAGGGTTTTTCCATAGGTAAGGTCAAGGTCTTAGTGGCGCTTCTGGCAAGCCAGGCTAGACTCGCCAGTCGACCCTCGATGGGTGATGCTTAAAAGTTGTGTGTGTCAGTGTGCGCGCATGAAAGTGTATGTGTGCGCACGCTTGTGTAAGTACATTTGTGTGCGTACATTCGTGTCTGTGTGTGTGTATGTACATGAGTGTATATGCGTGTATATAGGTGAATGTGTGTGTATGTATGTGTGTGTGGTCTCTAGAATACTTTTCAGCCCTTGTGCTCTGCAGAGAAGGAACTTCATTGCTGGACTTGTCGTGTATCCCCACGGTCTGTGAATACCAACGTTCCCTACAGTACACTGAAACACAACGGTCTGGACAGACGGAGAGGAACATACACACAAAACTTGATGATGAATGAGCCGGACAGAAATCATGAACTACATACTGTCCACAAACCTGGGAATGTCCGGACGATGTTGCCCAGTCCTTGTGCGAGGTCCATCTCTGGTGGGCATGCATGTACAGAGGCGTCTCTACCAGGCACCAGAATCACACTCTTCAGCAAACCCTGCACATTTAGGACAAGAATGTCACATGGTCTTTTATAACTGAAATAGATTTGAGCTGCATTCTTCTTTTTCTTCTTCTTTCTTTCTTCTTCTTTCTTTCTTCTTCTTCTTCTTCTTCTTCTTCTTCTTCTTCTTCTTCTTCTTCTTCTTCTTCTTCTTCTTCTTCTTCTTCTTCTTCTTCTTCTTCTTCTTCTTCTTCTTCTTCTTCTTCTTCTTCTGCTTCTTCTGCTTCTTCTGCTTCTTCTTCTTCTTCTTCTTCTTCTTCTTCTTCTTCTTCTTCTTCTTCTTCTTCTTCTTCTTCTTCTTCTTCTTCTTTCTTCTTCTTTCTTCTTCTTCTTCTTCTTCTTCTTCTTCTTCTTCTTCTTCTTCTTCTTCTTCTTCTTCTTCTTCTTCTTCTTCTTCTTCTTCTTCTTCTTCTTCTTCTTCTTCTTCTTCTTCTTCTTCTTCTTCCTCTTCTTCTTCTCCTTCTTCTTCTACTACTACGTTTTATTCTTTTAATTCATCGTTTGCCCTTAAGAAGGTGATTGGCATGTTGTGTTGTGACTATCAGCGAGGCTAGGATATCTACGCCTATCTGCTCAACACATCCGATCTCAGCAAACCCCTAATTCTTACCTTTCATCACATGCTTTCGGGGAAAGAAAGGGAGGGGGGGCCTGGGGGTGGGGGCCTGGAGGGGGTGGGGGCCTGGAGGGGGGCGGGGGGGGGCAGGAGGGGGATACGGGTTTTGGGTTTATTATTGTTTTCTCAAACATGAGAGTAAAGAGGCACGTGAACAAGAAAAACATATGCACTCAGTAAAGTAGCAACAATGGAATGCTGAACTCGTCAGTTGTCCCAGCAAGCAGACAACTGTAAGATAATCAATGCTGCGGAGCCAAAGTCTTCATTGGAAGGTTGACATCTCACAGTGGCTCTGATGATTGGTCATTCGAGTTCTTGGCGTACTGATTTTACTTTCAAATTGTTCTAGTTAAAAAACCTATTGTTTGTTTCTGTCACTGACCTCCTGTTATATTATTGATGTATTCAGCTGTGTGACTGGCCGAGCCATTCTGTTGCCAGTCTCCAGGATAACACATGATTCATGCGCAGCAAAGTTTTCATTTATCACAGGTAAATAACAAAACAATTGTATAGGGAATTATAGTAACTTTCAGTTGTCCCAATGTGTGCTGGAATAAAATTTCTTCATTGCAATTTATTTTTTCTACAGCTTTCAGAATAGTTTCTGATATTTTACTATTTTCAAGTTTTCACATTTTGACATTCACTGTTTGTCATACGTTCTTAAATTCTGACATTTTACTATTTCCACAACTTTTTCAAATTCTGATATTCACTGTTTATCAATACTCTCTTAAACGATGACATTTTACTATTTCCACAAATTTCCATAACCAAATCTCACATTTACTATTTTCAAAACTGTCTTAAATTCTGACATTGCAAAATGTCTTAAAAACTGACCTGGAAAACAGAAGAAGACTGCTTACATCTGCCGATACTAAAAGATGTGTTTACCACTGGCAGCAAGTCTGGAAATGCCGTAGCGAGGGGTCGTCGTCGCCGCTGCCTGCAGTCTCTGGTGACGGTAACCACCTCCGCTGCCATGCTGATACTCAACGTGTGCCACTTCCGGTCCTGGTAACCATGGGACATCTTGAATCGGTATCTCTGTCCTTTGTACCGAAACACCACACGATCTTTGGAGAAGCCTACAGAAATAAGACTGCTCATGGTCGTATCTTGAAATAAAGAAAAGAGACATTCTTCTCTTCTGGGTACCACATATTGTTTAAATGTCAGGAATAGAGAAAACTCGAACGGAAAATAGAGGCAGCGCGTGAATATCTTGTTGGCCTTCAGGACGATGTCTTCAGATCCTGGGGAGAACTGGTATCCGTGTACGTGGCTGGAGTGGTCGTAGAGAAGGTTGACCCCACGTGGCAAGGATTTGGGTGAAGGGACGGCTTGGTCTAGAAGGTTGACTGGAGGGACATCTGGAAATAAAACAACGTGTATTAACGTTTAACAGACAGTTAATAAATGTGCCTGTGTCACACACCGTTATTTCGTTAGAAAATAGAATAACGAGTCACATGGGTATCTTTTTTATTTCTGCTGGCGAATAAAGAGACAGAACTGATATACAAGGTCTAACAATTAAGTAATGAGACTAATTAATAATAAAAAAAATTAATCAACAGTTGAAGATATAACCTGTATTTTATTCAATGTAAGCCCCTTATGCATTGATACAGCAAGTAGCACGATCTAACAAACACTGGAACGACCTCTGTAGTTCTTCTGTTGCAATGGCCCTTAAAGTCGATGTTACAGTCCTTTGGATATCATCAATATCGTCAAAGAAGCGTTCTTTCAATGGTAAATTTGATTTTGGGACTAGAAAATAATCACAGGGAGACAAATCTGGGGAACAGAGTGAAAGGCTGAGAACACACTTGTTTTGGGACCAAAAATTCCTGTTTTGATAATATCTCGTACGTACTCAACCCGCTGATGTGTTTGGTCATCAGACAACAAATGCGGTAAAACCTGCAAGCCACTTTTTTCTTGCCAAAATCTTGCACTAAAATTTTACGAAGGGTCTCTCTAGCAACACCAGATTCATCTGCCATCATCCTGACAGTAAAACAACGACCTTCTTATATCCATTCTGTGACTTTTGCAATGAGTTTATCATTACAAACAGAAATTGGGCTTCCAGGTCTAGTTGAATTGGTTATCATTTCTACACCACTTTTGAATCGTGAATACCACCTGAAAATCTGTGCACCAAATAAACAATTATCCCCATAAACTGGTCACATCAATTCAACTGAGGGTTGCTTCTTCGGATTCCATCCTTTGCTTTATAGATGGCACTTTTGTCTTGGCCGTAAAAGAATCAGTCTTATTACTTCATTGTCGAAACTTGTAGTCCTGTAGACACTAACATCTGTTCCCTGTGTGGCATCACCATCATCATCATCATCAATTGATTATGTGCCCGACGACAGCGAGGGTGCCGTTTTCAAATAACAAAAAAAGTGCACCTCTCATTGGGCGCGCATGTTCTCCAGGAGAAACCCTTGAGCGACGCCTCTGCCCGTCACATAACGTGGATATCTTTGCTACTTGCAGTTAAAACGACAGAGAAATTTACGATCTGCTAGTGGAATATACAGCCGCGGATTAACCCTATGTATGTTCGTGATTATTAGTCGGAATTTCCCTGGCCTGTATAGATAGCTCGCAAACACTTCACCGCAGACGGCGGCGGCGCTATCAACAATTTCATTCCTATTCGTAGCCATTGTCTAAGGGAGACGACAGCGGTCAAAGAAAGATAATTCTTTGATGTTCCGCAATGCAGTTATCTAAGTAAACGAATCTAAGGCGTTTAACAGACTAGTTGTAAATGTTTTCCTGCCAGCCTGTCTTCCGGCGGAGTGGAGCAAGACCGTACGACCTATATTCGACAGTTTGTTTTGCTCTCGAGAAGACAGGGAACTCTGGAGAATTACTGCTCTTCGCCGGGGACTATAACATAAGATGTCTGAGGTCTTAGTGGTTCACTGAACTGAACAGACAATTGTAGGTTTTAATACATTGTGTTTGTTGTTTACAAACAAGGGGGGTGGGGCGCAACTGGTTAGACAAGTGATGCTTTTGGTAAATTGTTGTTGCATGTACTAGTTACTTCTCAACAGCTGCTTCTGCTCCTCCTCCTGCCCCTTCTTTTCTTCTTCTTTTTCTTTTTTTCCCCTCTCATTCTTCTTCTTCTTCTTCTTCTTCTTCTTCTTCTTCTTCTTCTTCTTCTTCTGCTTCTTCTACTTTTGCTGCTGTTCTTCCTCTTTTCCACTTCAAATAACGGAAAAATGAAATTATTAAATAGTCAGTGGTGTAGAAGAAATTAACAGCTTGACTGACTGACTGACTTTCTACCCCACCAGGACATCACACAAGCGATAAACACCCGATGACACAATTTGCCACCATATGGATGAGGATCACCGTGGAGAGGTCCCAGAAACCGCGTTCAGCCATTAGGCCATATTTATGGCTAGGCTATATTGCGGCCCCTGGCAAAAGCCAGAGTAGGGCTTCAAATAACAACAAATTTCATCCTAAAAAGGACGTAAGGATTAATTCAGTATATTAATCTGACTGACTGACTGACCTTCTACCCCACCAGGACATCACACAAGCGATAAACACCCGATGACACAAAGTGCCACCATGTGGGTGAGGATCACCGTGGAGAGGTCCCAGAAACTGCGTTCAGAAAATTGGCCATATTTATGGTCTGTCTATATTGAGGCCCCTGGCAAAAGCCAGGGTGGGGCTTCAAATAACAACAAATTTCATCCTAAAAAGGACGTAAGGATTAATTCAGTATATTAATCTGACTGACTTTCTACCCCAACAGGACATCACACAAGCGACAAACAACCGATGACACAAAGTGCCACCATGTGGATGAGGATCGCTGTGGAGAGGTCCCAGAAACCGCGTTCAGACAATTGGACATATTTATGGCCTGTCTATATTGCGGCCCCTGGCAAGAGCCAAGGTGGGGCTTTAAATTAAAAAAAAAAATTCATCCCAAATAGGACGAATCATGAATATTAATCTCTATTAACAGATTGGATAAAATAATAGGAATAGCTGGAGCAAAATGGACATAAACAACCTGCCACAGAAAAGATTCAAGGTCTGACAATTAAGTAATGAGACTGTACATAAAAATTGAAATAATCAACAGTTGAAGATATAACGTGTATTTGATTCAAAGTAAGCCTCTTGTGCTTTGATACAGCAAGTGGCACGATCTAACACGATCGTAGTTCTGTATTTATTCCGTTGTTATGGTCCTTAAAGTCGTTGTTACGGCCCCTTGGATGTCATCAACATCGTTAAAGAGGCGGCCTTTGAATCGTAACTTTAATTTTGGGAATATAAAATAATCACAGGGAGACAAATCTGGGGGACTGAGTAGAAGGCTTAGAGAACACGCTTGGTCAAAAATTCTTGTTTCGATGATGTCTCTTGGGTACTCAACCCGCTGATGCTTTTGGTCATTAGACAACGAATGTGGTACAAACCAGCAAGCAACTTTTTTCTTGCAAAAATCTTGCACTAAAATGTTATGAATGGTCTCTCTGTTAACACCAGATTCATCAGCCATCATTCTCACAGTAAAACAATGATCTTCTTGTATCTATTTTTTGACTTTTGCAATGGGTTCATCATTACGAACAGAAATTTGGTGTCCAGATCTAGGCGCATTAGTAATTTTTTTCCACACCACTTTTGAATCGTGAATACCACCTGAAAATTTGTGCACGAGATTAACAATTATCCCTATAAACTTGTTGCATCAATTGAACTGTTTCAATGGCGCTTTTTCTGAGTTTAATAAAGATTTTATTGTTAGCTTTTTGTTTAGTCCGTGGTCATTACGTAACAATGCACCTCCGAGGTCAACAAAATAGTGGCTTCTTTGTTGTCTGCTTATCGAGCGGCGATGAAAAGTTGCCAGATCATAGGTGAGTGTTGCCTCTTTAGATTCTATGCTTTGCTTCATAGATGGCATTTTTGTCTTGACCATAGTAAAATTAGTCTCATTACTTAATTGTCGGACCTTGTACAATTCTCACGCATACCCGTATTCATGTGATTGTGTATGTGTGTTTGTGTGTGTGTGTATATGTATATAGGAACATTTCGTGTACGCACGAACCATTTCTAAAGAAAACTTTTTGGGCACATCTTTTATGCTAAAAACAGCTTGACTATTTATTTTGAAAACAACACACTCGGTGTAACCAACATTCCCCCCCCCCCTCAGTTGTCCATCCCTACAGTGGTCTCTCTCTCTCTCTCTCTCTCTCTCTCTCTCTCTCTCTCTCTCTCTCTCTCTCTCTCTCTCTGGCTGCGTGTATGATATGTATTATGTAAATATGCATACAAGTATTATGATATGTATGTATGATATGTGTGTATGATATGTATGTATGATATGTGTGTATGATATGTATGTTTGTATGTATGTTTGTATGTATGTATGTATGTGTGTATGATATGTATGTATGATATGTGTGTATGATATGTATGTTTGTATGTATGTTTGTATGTATGTATGTATGTATGTATGTATGTATGTATGTATGTATGTATGTATGTATGTATGTATGTATGTATGTATGTATGTATGTATGTATGTATTTATGTATGTATGTATGTATGTATGTATGTATGTATGTATGTATGTATGTATGTATGTATGTATGTATGTATGTATGTATGTATGTATGTATGTATGTATGTATGTATGTATGTATGTATGTATGTATGTATGTATGTATGTATGTATGTATGTATGTATGTATGTAATGTATGTATGTATGTTTAATGTATGAATGTATGTATGTATGTATGTATGTATGTATGTATGTATGTATGTATGTATGTATGTATGTATGTATGTATGTATGTATGTATGTATGTTGTATGTATGTATGTATGTATGTATGTATGTATGTATGTATGTATGTGTATGTATGTATGTATGTATGTATGTATGTATGGATGTCTGTATGTATGTATGTATGTATGTATGTGTATGTATGTATGTATGTATGTATGTATGTATGTATGTATGTATGTATGTATGTATGTATGTATGTATGTATGTATGTATGTATGTATGTATGTATGTATGTATGTATGTATGTATGTATGTATGTATGTATGTATGTATGTATGTATGTATGTATGTATGTATGTATGTATGTATGTATGTATGTATGTATGTATGAATGTATGTATGTAATGTATGTATGTATGTATGTATG